CTCGTTTCCTCATCTTGTTTTTAACTTGTTCATATTTACATAATAGAGTCCATTTCCTATACCAACTCTATCTAGTCATCATTATTTTCTTACAATAGTTGATGATTTCAGTGATGTACATGGGTTTTCTTAATGAAATTGAAATACAAGGCTAGACCTATTATGCGGAATTTTTATACCTTTATTCATACTCAATTTTCTATTAAGATAAAGTGTGTTAGAACTAATAATAGTCAAGAATTCAATGTGCCTACATTTTATAACTTGCATGGCATTGTCCATCAAACTTCCCGTGTTTCAACTCCACGACAAAATAGTATAGTTGAAAGAAAGCATCGGCATATTTTGAAAGTTTTTAGATTTTTAAGATTTCAATCTCATCTTCCATTGTCTTTTTGGGGAGATTGTGTTTTGCATGTTATGTCCTTGATTAATAGGCTTACTTCTCCTATTCTTGAAAATAAAACACCATTTGAACTCTTGCATAAAATTCCACCTACATTTTCTCATCTCAAAGTATTTGATTGTCTATGTTTTACTTTTACTCTTGCTTAATCTAGATCCAAATTTGTTCCAAAAAAATGTTAAATGCATCTTTCTTGGTTATTCTTATGGGACTAAAGGATACAATTAGAAAACTTAATACTCATCGATTTTTTATTTCTAGAGATGTTTTTTTCTATGCAATCCGATAATACTTCGATTTTGTTTTACCATCTATTTCTAATTCGGACCTTTTTTTTTGGTACTTACCAACCTCTACTTGTTTCTCCTTCTTTTACTTGTTTCTCCTTCTTTTAATAATATCTTTATTTCTTCTTCTCCTTCAATTGATATCTCTATTTTTCTTTTTTCTTTTTTCTCTTTGCTCTCCTATTCAACCAGTTTGAAAATCTTTTGAAATAAAACATACTCTTTGTCTTCGGGGTTATGATCATTATTTAATTTCTACTTTTGTTCAAACTACCAATCATCTTTTAACAAGAAGTTACGTTACTCAATCAAGTACTTCACCTTATACACTTGATCATGTTTTTTCTTATTCATATCTTAGTCCTTCTTATCAAACTTTTTTCTATTAATTTTAGTCATATTCTTAAACCCAAAACTTATTGTGAGGCTATTAAATATGAGTGTTAGAGATTTACTATGTAGGATAAGATAAAAGCTCTTCAGGATAACAATACATGAGAACTAATATAATTACCTGTAAGCAAGCAATCTATTGGGTGTAAATGAATTTACCAAATCAAGTATAAATCGGATGGCACCATTGAGAGGTTTAAGGCTCGTTTGGTAGCCAAGGAGTACACACAACGGGCTGGCATTGATTATTTGGATACATTTAGTCCAATTGCAAAGATGTCTACAATCGAACTATTCTAGTAGTTGTTTCTATCAAAGGTTAGAATTGGGAACAACTTGACATCAATAATGCATTTTTGCATGGAGAACTTAATGAAGAAGTTCATATGTGTCTCCCTCTAATTTTAAAGCGACAAGTAATACTTAGGTGTGCAAACTTGTTAAGTCTCTCTATAGTTTAAAGTAAGCTAACGGACGGTCGTTTGCTAGATTATCTACTACATTATTGAATCAAGGGTTTTCTCAAGCCACTAGATTATACAATGTTATTAATAAGGTCATGATCCTCGATCTGATTTTAACATTTAGATTGCTTTTATTTCAAACCAATCATATGGTTTATATAATTTGTAGTATGAGAGATCGGATAAAAATATTGCTAAATAAGTTCGACAAAGAACTTATAACATATAAAGTCTTAACCTTTATACACTAAAAGAAACCTATCTTTGATATAGACTTCTCACTATTGAAATTGTTGTTATTTCTTTGGTAATTACTCTAGATGGGATCGACACTAAATGAGGAGAGTACCTCTTTTTAGTAAACATACTAGTTAGATACTCATGCTACTGTTGTGGTTAGACAACCGTTGTATACGCATGGTTAGTGATTCTTATGGTGCGATGTGAGTAGAAGTTTTGTTTATGATGATCAATGCAAATTGAATCTATATATAGAGCAAAATTATTTTATTTATATATAATAATTTATAATATTAGCATAAAAATATGTATTTGAATAATTAGGAGATTCTTTCAAAACATGAATGAAATTATTTTATTTAAAAATATAGATTTTAGACCATGAAAACAATTAATAACAATTAATTGGTGTTATATGTGCGGATATACAATTGATTTTAACAAAACTATACATATATAAGCAAATAACATCTACACATTCTTTTTTAACTAATTAGTAATTTAAAAAAAATGAGTCAAATTATCTAAAACACATTTTTAGCTCTCTCTTTCATCATAATTTATAAATGTAACCATGCTACTCTCATTTAAAAATAAAAAAACAATCAATTGTATAAATTATAATAATAAATATTTTTTAAAAATAACGTTCTAAAATTTTATTTCAAAATCTATTTTGTAAAAAAAAAAATTATTAACAAATAAAATTATATTAAAAAATTAAAAAATTCATTGGATGAGAATTTTAATAAGAAAAAAACAAGCTGAAAAAATAAGTTTTAAACAATAAGAATAATAGATCCATTCAAACTAAAATATAAAAAATATCATATATATTTTATTACTTCAAACTATACATAAAACTAGAAAGAAAAAAAAAAAACAATGATCTATTTTCTATGTTTGCACACCGAATTTCATAATAAAAAATATAAAAATAAATTATTTGGAGAAAAAAAAAAATTCAGGCATGTGTAGCCGACCTAATCTAGCACGGCTAGGCTTGTGAGCCAAGCTCGTGCGCCAAGGTCGCTTCAACCTTCTTCTCCACTCCAAGCCTAGGTCAGCTTGTTAGGCCAAAGAAAAAGAAGAAGAAGAAAGGCTAGGCATTTGCGGCTAGGCCGGACCAAAAAAAAAAAAAAAAAAGAACCTATAACTTTCGACGAGCTCAAGCTCGCAAGAAAATTGGGGTTCAATTTTCGAATAAAAAAAAACTCAATTTTGACGTTATTTTTTCTCTCAAACACCTCTAAGTGATCGAAATAAAGTCAATCAAACACTTTTAACGCCTTAAAAATCATTTTAATGCTCATTAAAACAAAAAAATACATAATTAGATTGAATTTTTTTTCTTTTTTTGCTCCGATCTACATTCTTGAATTATTTAACCACTTAAAAACACTATAAACAAACTCATCTCTCAAAGACAAAAAAATTTAATAGAGTTTTGCCGACCAAAGTGGCCTAAACATGGTTGGCCGACGCTCTCTCTTTCTCCTTCCGTCTCTCTCTTCTTTCCTCTCTCCTCTTAACACTTAAGGACTAAAATGTATCAACAAATGAAGATATGGATCGAAACAAAAAAGTCAAAAATATCATAGATCAAAGTATAAAAATTTGCATAACTTTTATATTATTGCCCATGAAAGTTTAAAAAATTAACAAAAAAGCCAAAGAGTAGTAAATGAACAGTTAACACCTCAGATTTGTTTGTTTTTTTTTTTTTAATATACCTTTTACTTCGACTTTAGCAAAGACTAAAGTGAGTTGTTGGAGAACGATTCTGGATGGAATAGCCTGGGTGTTTTAGACTTATTAGCGGGGTTCCTCGTGATGGGCTGTATATAGCCAAGAGTTTGGGCCTTTTTTCTAAAAGTCTTGTTCACAAAGAAGTCCATTATTTCTTCTTGGTATATCACATGAAATGTTTATAATGTAGTCTTTTCGTTCATGTTGACTGTTAGTCAATAAAATCAATCCAATAAATCGATAAACACGTATCTAATAATAATTTAGATTTCAATATGTAATAAAAATAATTTTAAAGTTTTTTTTTAAATCATCTTTATTTTTTAAAAAATAAATTAAAAAGAATCATCATCCTAAATATATATAGGTCAATTTTTTTATTTAATTTAAAAAATTGGTTTTGGGTATTACTTTACATGCTAAATTGTTTACCTATTCATCTGTTCCGGATTTTTTTTTAAATAAAGAGGAAATATGGATTTTTTTCTTCTGAAAAAAAAAACAAAGGGAAATTTTTTATTCTAAAAAATTATGATTATTTTTTCCTTTTCTAAAATTCATTTTCATAATTTTTTTTTATCTACTATCAATTTATTAATTCACAAGTTCTATTCATTTATGGGTCAATTTTGTTGGTTAACGGTCATCATGATCCAAATAAATTAAAAAGAATCTAAAAGTTAAAAAAAAAAAGAAAAAAAAACGTTCTTTATTTTTTTAAAATAAATTAAAAAGAATCATCATCCAAATGTGTGTGTATATATATATTAGGTCTTTTTTTTATTTAACTTAAAAAGTTAATTGCTTTTGGGTATTACTTTACATGCTAAATTGTTTACCTATTCATTGCGTTCCGGATATATTTTTTTTTAAATAAAGAAGAATTATGGATTTTTTATTTTGAAAAAAAAATAAAGGGAAATTTTTTATTCTAAAAAATTATGATTATTTTTCCTTTTCTAAAATTTCATTCATTCATATTTTTTCCTTTTTTCCTTTTTTTTTTTTGTCTACCATCAATTTATTAATTCACAAGTTCTATTCATTTATTGGTCAATTTTGTTGATTAACCCTCATCATGAACAAAAAGACTACATTATCAATATTGCATATATACAGGACTCAATCAAATCATAAACTAAAAAAGATTCAATCAAAATAATTCATAATAAAAAAAATGTATTAGTGGATACAAGCCATACATAAAAGAAATCTCCAAAAGCATTATATATGTTTCTCGCAAGTTGAGATTACCCTTCAGATGGCTTCTAATTGGACACAGGCTAAAAAGCGGGTAGTATCGTCCAAAAAAACAATCACCATATGGTCCATGCATGGATGATAGAAACCGATCATTGTCGTTTATTTGAAGATATTGTTAATTTATAAAATACTTTCTGCAAGCTTTCCCCAACATCAACGAGTCCACCTCCGAAGGATAGAGTGACTTCCTCTACAGATATGGACGACATTAGGTTAGCCTTAATTTTGGAAAGTTCTGACAGAAAAAGCCACGGTCTTGGGGAATTAAAGGCGCATTCTTTATATGCAAGTTGACCTTCACATTAATCAAATACGTGTGATTCAAAGTTGAAGGAGGCACCTTGTTCACGTTATTCTCTCTTTTTGAATAGGCACGACGTTGAAGAACGAATCACCAACAAATATTAATAAGGTCGGAGTATCCTTGACGGCAAATCTTTTTTGTTTTTACTCTGTTAAAAAAAAAAAATTTAAATCTGTTTATTCATCAACTAAAACTATATATTTTTAATTACTATACAAATTCCTGATGATTAAAGAAGTCATGGTTGTATATGGAAAAAACTATATAATAAATACATCAACTTGAATCTTTTCTTAACGAATACATTAATTTTTATTTTTTTTTGTTTCAGTATATCAATTTTTTTAAAAAATATTAATCAAGTTTTTTTATCTAATTTTTTTATATAGTGATGATGTAGCACAAAATAGAAAAGACTAAATCACTATACAATTTTAAAGTTAGTGACTATGTTGACTTTTTTTCCTCTCAAATTGTTATTATTTTTCAACTGTTAATTAAAAAAAAAAAAGCACTCAGCACACATGCGTGCCAACAACTTTGCTTTTTTTTTCTTTTTTTAATTAATAGTTAAATAATAATAATAATTTGGGAGAAGAAAAAAATAAAAAATAAATAACATAATCATTTAACTTTCTCTGTTAACTACACATCATTACTATATAAAAAATTAGATAGAAAAACTTCATTGATATTGTTGAAAAAAAAATATGATATAATCGATTGAGAAAAAGTTCAAAATTGATATACTTATTATGTAATTTTTCATTGTATACGTGTATATATAGAAACCTAACTTATGAGGTTTTGGATCGTTCATAGAAAAGGTAAAAAAATTTAAGGCATTGAACCAGTGGCTATTTACTCAAGATGAAGCACCAAAAGCTGCCTTGCCTGCGGTTCAAATCCACAAAAAATAAAAGAAGTGCATAAAAGATGTGAAGCCGAATGCCCTAAATACCCAAAAAAACAAAAACAAAAACAAAAAAAAAAAACAAAAAACAAAAAACAAAAACAAAAAGTAAAAAAAAGATGAAAGTGATACAGAGACTAGCCACACACACATATATATGTGTGTGTGTGTGTGTGTTTTGCAGCAAGATGTGAACCCATTCATATTGACAGCCTGTTTGTTTTTTATGTTTAGCATTTCCCTCTAATTTTGTTCTATGCTATTAACAAGGGCACCTCCTATTTTGGATATAATACAACCACATTCATGGACAGAACCTCTTATTTTTATGCATTCACATTGGTCCTTTGAATCACCAGTTCACCTCTTTGATTTCCCATGCCAAATTTGTCGAAAATTTTGGAGTATCTTAAAGAATCTTTTCCATTACTCATTTGCTTTTTAATTATGTGAATATTTTTTGCTTACCTAACAATTTTCCTAAAATTGTCTTTATTTGATGTAGAAATATTGCTTAATTTCAGCATTTATAGTTACTACTCAGAACAAATATTGGCGCATGCACGAGTCAAATCGAGCAACTTTGCATTGGATACAGTGAACTTTGCCTGGCAACATTAACTCTACCCTGAAAGATATAAAAAGTGATCAAGATTCTTATGATTCACTTGCCTTTCTTAATTTTCCTTAACTTTTTTTCAGGAATCTTGACAAGCAAAAGCAAAGCAATTAACATTGCTGTATTAATTAGCTTTAACTTTGCACTTCGCGCAGTCCTTCATTTCAGTAATTATCAGCAGTGCGTTGCAGTCCATTTCAATACAGCAGGAGATCAGTACTTTGCAAGTCAGCTCTCTTCAAAGATAAAAGAAAGAAGGTGAGCCCATCCCTTCTTTTCTGTGTTAATGTTGATAAGCTATCTTCTTTTTATTGATGTTATAAGTATGTAGAGATATTTCATGCATTCAAAGTGGTTTCTTTAATCAACATCGGCAACTAGGATTCCAGATTCAGAATCATAAGTACAGCACTATGTTCTTGTTCTTCTGCTAAAATTCCAGATTGAAATAATTCTTGTCTAGTCATGCTTTTATGTTACAAGAACATGATATTCACGTTGCTTTCATCATTTTGTAGGTGCTAGCCATGACTATTGCAAATGGAAATATTGATGCTTCGTCAACTCCAACAAGACCCGAGGTTTGTACTCCAATATTGCTTTATTTGTTTAATCATGGGATGCTGAAATTTCTTTCAACTAGTGAAGTTAAAGTGATGCTGACTCTAATTCTGTGATATGCAGGGAAAATATAAAGGAATTATAGTATGTTGGTTTCTTGGACTTGGGTCTCTTGTCTCGTGGAACAGTATGCTGACCATAGGAGATTACTACTATAGTTTGTTCCCGGTAGGCTGCTTATAAATATTATTTCACTAATTAATTTTGACAATTACATTTCTTGCATGGGTTATTTCTATCTTTGTTCTTATGGTAGAAAGTTTTAAGGTTTTGAGATTCATAGTTTAAAGTTTAAACCGTCGTTGAGCCTAAATAAGGTAACTTGTTCAATTGGAGTGATGTTTGATGATGCTTTAATTTTCTTTGTGTTTGAAGAAATATCATCCTTCAAGGGTACTTACTCTTGTTTATCAACCATTTGCACTTGGAACAATGGCAATACTAGCATATAATGAGGCAAAGATCAATACTAGAAAGCGAAACATGGTTGGTTACATCCTCTTTACTGCAAGTACTCTCATGCTTATGGTTGTAAGTAGCTTGAATAACTCCTACCTATTATTGTTTAATTTTTTTTCTTATCAATTTTTTTATTTCATAATTAATTGCTTCTGATAATTGTGATAGGTGGATTTAGCCACATCAGGAAGAGGAGGAATTGGACCTTTCGTTGGCATATGTGCTATTGTTGCTGGTTTCGGAGTTGCAGACGCTCATGTTCAAGGTGGAATGGTTGGAGACATGGCTTTCATGTGCCCTGAATTCATGCAGGTTACACTTCTTGGAATTCTCTTTGAATTGGTTTTCCACTCTAAAGAGTAAAGAACATTTGATCTTACCCCACCTTCGATTTCTTTTCCTGCAGTCTTTCTTTGCTGGGTTGGCTGCATCTGGAGCCCTGACCTCTGGTCTGAGATTGATCACAAAAGCAGCATTTGATAAATCTAAAGATGGTCCTCGCAAGGGTGTTAGTACGTCACTTTTCTTTCAGAAATAGTGAAATTTATTATCTTTTACTGCTATTTGACACTTAAGTTGGTCATATTATTACAGTTACAAGAGATTGACCTTTCTCGCATGCTTTATTGCTACTGTGGTTAGTAGTCCCATAGTGATTAGTTTGTATGCCTTCAGCAGAAAAGTAAAAGGATAATATAAACTTGAGCAGAATAAAAATAGTTGCCACCCAACTTCAGATCAGTTGACAATTATTACTTGATTGCCGATGTTTGCAGTGTTATTTCTAGGAATCTCAACTTTCTCGGAATTCGTATGTGTTCTGCTGTATGCATATTTCTTTCCTAGGCTGCCAATAGTAAAATACTACCGCTCAAAGGCAGCCTCAGAAGGATCAAAGACTGTTTCAGCTGATCTTGCTGCTGCTGGCATCCAAACACCAGCAAACCAACAAGTATTGCCACATTTTTTTAATCTTTACTTGGTGTTCATTTTCTTGAAAAGATGACCATTACGTTTCATATATATATTGAATGTTGCTTAAGAAAAAGTTCCCTTTTCATTTTTAACCTTATCAATTATTCATCATCTGCAGTTCTTGCAGGCTGCTGATGTTGCCAAACATCCAGAGCGATTGAGCAACAAACAACTATTCTTCCAGAATATAGATTATGCACTTGACCTATATATGATATACGTGTTGACATTATCGATTTTCCCGGGGTTCTTGTATGAAAATACCGGTGAACACCAGTTGGGCACATGGTAAGTGCGCAACATTCATTTCACATGAGGGTCAGTTCTGTATTATTTGAATTTAGACAGCACAAGAGGATGATATTTCTTTGCCCTTCTTGTTAAGACAACTACTATAGCATTGTGTTCCATAAGCATATCTGTTTTGGATTACACCCCCATTAATGTATTTTAATGTGGCATGTCATTTCTGTTTGATATTTCTTTTTATCTCTAGGATTCCAAACTTCGATCAAGTTATGCTAGAAAATATGTGATTCGGCTGAAAAAATTTAGCTCTCATGACTAGTGATGTTTCAGGTATCCTCTTGTTCTAATTGCAATGTACAATGTGTTGGATCTTATATCAAGATACATCCCTCTTGTTCCATGGTTGAAGTTGGAGTCTAGGAAGGGCCTCGTGATTGCATGTCTCTCTCGTTTCCTACTCGTTCCTGCATTCTACTTCACTGCAAAATATGGTGATCAAGGATGGATGATCTTTCTTGTTTCTTTCCTGGGGCTAACAAATGGCTACCTCACTGTCTGTGTCCTTACAATTGCTCCGAGAGGTTACAAGGTTAGTTACCAAATACCATGATGTGCAATAATGTAATATTTTTGTTTTGCTTACACATGACAATTTGTTGATGGTTTTGGTTTTGTAGGGGCCAGAGGCAAATGCTTTGGGAAATTTGCTTGTGCTATGCTTACTTGGTGGCATATTTTCAGGGGTTGCTCTTGATTGGCTCTGGCTCATAGGAAAAAAGAATGCCTTCTGAAGAGCCAAATCCATCTGTAACTGATAAAGAAAGTTGGTTCCTCTCCATTAATGCAACTTTAACAGAGTCTCCTGCTGGCATACCTCACACATGAGGATGGTAGTGATTTGCCCAGGAATCTGATTACTACATTGTTAGTACTGAGCATGTTTTTAGCTAACATGTTAAAGTGGAACCAAATCTTGAGTAAAATACACAAGTACAATTACGAAATTGTATTTTCATATGAATAGTGATATTGGTGTATTTATATTCTCAAAATTAACAAGAAAATTTTTTTTTGTGTTCTACAGGAGGCAATATTTATCAGTACTCGTAGAACTTGTTTCTTTTCCATGAAATGTGAATGTGTTCAACAGCTGCAAATAGTACAAAAAGGAAAAGTCAAACATATATCAAACCATACATATCTAGAAAATGAAATTAGATTTTTTGACGTCTTTTTAGATAGATTTTCAGAAAGGCAAATGAGTTATCATCACTCCCAATTCCAATAAAAATCAATTGAATAAAGTTCATAGGATACATTTAATGTGGCACTTGTGCCGGAAATGAACTATCTAAAAGTAAATTATAAATTAATTCCTTTAGTTTTTTTAAAAAAATTAATTAGTATTTTTTATTTTAAAAAGTAATTATTTAATTATTATTTTTTAAACCTTTTTGTAACTTAATTTTTTTCTTTTATTTATTTATTTTTTATTTAAAAATAAAAAATATAGAAATATTGATGGAAGAAAAAGATATTTTTTGAAATAAAATAATATTAAATTAAAATAGTCAATAATAATTAAAAACTGAATAATTAATGTTTCAAACAAGAAGTACTAATTAATTTGTCTTTTTTTAAATAGAGAAACCAATTTATAATTTACTCATCATCAAATATTTTGTCATATATATATCAAATCAACTATACAAATATCTCTAATTTTCTGATTTTTGGGCCTTTTGGTTTTCTTGTAACGGGCTAGGAATTGAAATCCGGGCTTGGGTTTTAGGCTTAAGGGACTTGGGTCTTGGGTTGGACTTTCTTACAAGACCTTTTGTTTTCTGTTTTTCATTTTCAAAGGCTTTAAGGAATTTGGATCTTAGCATGGATTCAATATGGAGTTTTGGGGTTTCAGTTTTCTTCTCATTTTAATTTATGATATTCTTCCTTCTCTTTATTTATCACACAGAATGGTCGGTTTCTCTATGCAATTTTCCAATGAACCTTACTTTTAATGTAGAATGATGCATGGACTTATATGGAATAACACTTCAAAGAAAATGAGCAACCATTTTTTGTAGTAATTATGGACCTTGCTTCCAAGAAAGATAAAAAAAAAAAAAACCAAATTTTGAGTATAAAATAAAAAATATTTAGAATTTTTTAAATATCATGAGAGTTTTAGTTAAATTTTTGAATGATATTTGTAGTTTTTTAACCACTTTTGAAGAATATTCTTAAAAAATCTCAACAAAAATTATATTTTTACTTTTAAGTCAAATTTAAAAAAAATTATAAAATGAAAATAAGTAAATTATTAAAGAATTTTTTGAAGTATTATAAAATTATAAATACTATTTAAAAGTTTTAAAATTTAATTAAAAATTTCTTGATATTTTTTTAAAATAATATAAATATTCTATTTTATATTCAAATTTTGCTTAATATCATATAAATAAATTTAAATCAATGAAGAATATTTTTTTCTTCATTTTTTCAGTTTTTTTCAATAAAAAAAGATTAGAGAGATCAGATTAAAACGAAAAAAAATATTAATATTTGTTGCTCTGTGATTTAATAATATTGGTTTAAAAAATTAAGAGATTGCGGGGGAAAAAAAACATAGAAACACACACTATTAAAATAAATAAAAGAATAAACGGACTCTTGCAAGTAAAAATATATATATATATATATATATATATATATATATATATATTGATATCTGTCACATTCTTCAAGGATTTGAAAGTGACGTAGATTCGGAACAAGTTGTCTCTTTCAGCCTTACTATCCTTTCAAGCAACATAAAAGTCAAACGGGACATGGCCAAGTATGTGCTCCCATCACTTTGCAACTTGCAGTCCCCATTCCATTTCATCCCTCCATAAAAACGAAACAACACAGGGGTAAGCCCATCACTTCTGTTCTAGATAAACCTTCTGCTTTTAGTTGATATCAATTACTCCACGGTTAATGTTGCCATGAATGTGTTTTTCTTGTTGTCTTGTTTCATACATGCGCTGCCCTGTCAGATATTCGACGTGGTTTCTTGTATCAAAATTGTCTTTCGGACCCAGATTTGGAACAAAGTAATACAATCGTTGCTTTCTTGACCTTATGCTAGAATTCAAGTTTGATAAGTTTAACTTTAGTGCTTCTTGTTTTGTCATTCTTTTAGGTTCCAGGAAACATGGTGCTAATACATTGACTGATCTTGTTCTGTTACTGATTATCTTGTAGAGCTAGTCATGACTATTCCTAGTGGAAGTGGGATGCCGACAATGCTTCAGGTTTTGTGCTCTCAAACTTTTTTTCATTCATATGATCATGGGGTGATGAATAAATTATTTCTAGTAATGAAGTAAACATGGTATTGACTCAATTTCTGTTATTGCCAGGGAAAATATAAAGCAATAATAGCTTGTTGGTTTCTTGGACTTGGATCTCTTGTCTCATGGAACAGTTTGCTAACCGTAGAAGATTACTACTATGACTTGTTCCCGGTAGGTATCTCTTTGTTAATATCTCCTAGCATTTGTTGTTGAAGCTAAATTTCTCTCATAAGTTGTGTTTATCCTAATTTTGTCTTTACATGTGTGCTAGAGTTTTCGAGCATGTTGAGATTCATTAAGTAGTCTTGAGCCAGAAAAAGGGTTCAATTAGGAATGTATTGAAATGATTTGATTTTATGGTTGACTGTTCTTATATGCCCTTCTAAAATTTACAGAAATTCTGCAGCAGGAGTATATAACTAGTTTCAGTAGAGTAGATTTGACTTTCTATGTTGTTGATCATATTAGATGGTTGTGCTTGCTAATGGGGATTATCATATTCTTTGATATTTGAGGATTGAGCTAAGATGGATGGTCTCACTGATCACTTATCTAAGAATTCATGATCACAGATATATCTCTTGCCTCAATTTCATTATATTGGGGTGGCAAAACTGTCTATGTGACAATACTTTTCTTTCTGTTTGAAGAAATACCATCCTTCAAGGGTACTTACTCTTGTTTATCAACCGTTTGCCCTTGGAACAATGGCACTGCTGTCATATAATGAGGCAAAGATCAATACTAGAAAAAGGAACATAGCTGGATACATACTGTTTACTGCAAGTACTCTGATGCTCATAGTTGTAAGTACCAAATGCGTACATGTCTTCTTATCTTTTGTCGGTTATTTTCTTTTTCTTCCAATCTAATTTATCTTTGGGTTCTTGCAATATCTGTGACAGGTGGATTTAGTCACTTCAGGAAAAGGAGGAATTGGACCTTATATTGGTATATGTGCAGTGGTTGCTGCTTTAGGAGTTGCAGATGCTCATGTTCAAGGTGGAATGATTGGAGACTTGTCTTTCATGTGCCCTGAATTCATCCAGGTAACACCTAGTAGAGTTGTTTAATGTTGTTCAATAGCATGTAGTTCTATTTTGGATTTTGAAAGAGTTTTCCCATCCTAATGCCTTTTTTTTTTTTTTTTTGTACTACAGTCTTTCTTTGCTGGGTTGGCAGCATCAGGGGCTCTGACTTCTGCTTTGAGACTACTAACAAAAGCAGTATTTGAGAAGTCTAAAAATGGTCTACGGAAGGGAGTTAGTATGTGACATTTTCTTTGACGAATATAAAACTCATTTGCTTTCACTATTCTTTCTTTACTAATCAGTTGGGAATTGCTGCTTGACAAAATATTTCATATCTTGACCATTAATAGAGATTGACCTTTCACATACGCTATCTGGTTTGTAGTCCAGTGGTGAATGAATTGAAAATCATGCATGTAGAAGTATGCCTTTACCAGAAAAACAAAAGGAGCATACAGAAGTAAGACTTCACGCTTTTATTCAACATGGTCTAAATAAATATCATTTGAACCGGAGCTTCAGATTTTTAGGTTTTCATATCTAGTCTAGAATAGATACATGTAATATGAGCTTTGTATATGACCTGTTTGGTGCTAAAGACTGGATTGATGTTTATTTCTTGATAACCAATTCTTGCAGTGTTATTTTTGGGAATATCCAGTTTCTTGGAGTTTCTATGTGTTCTTCTGTATGCATTTCTCTTTCCTAGACTGCCAATAGTGAAGTACTATCGTACGAAGGCAGCTTTGGAAGGATCAAAGACTGTTTCAGCTGACCTTGCAGCTGCTGGCATCCCAACACCAGAAAACCATGAGGTGCTACATTTTCTTTTCAATATTTTTTCCTGCTCTGTTTGGTTTTCAAGGAAATTTGTTTCTAATCTTTATGGCATCTCAGTTTAGGGCACTCTTACATGCTGCAGAAGATGACAAATACCCAGAACGGTTGAGTAATAAACAACTATTCGTCCAAAACATAGATTATGCACTTGACCTGTTTCTGATATATGTTTTGACACTATCAATTTTCCCGGGATTCTTATATGAAGATACTGGTAAACACCAGTTGGGCTCATGGTAAGTTCTCATCCATGGCATAGCATTAGTTCTTAATGAAGCCTGATTGTTAAATGGCCATCCATACCCTCTAATAGTTTCTATCCAGCTGGTTATTGTATTAAATGCTTCTTGCTGTATCCCTTCTTCAACTTCAGTTTTAGTTTCTTTTCTGAAATTTCTTCAAGCAGATTGCGTACTTTGTCCAAACTTGATAAGTAATGCATCAGAAATTTTCTCATTGCGTAGAATTCAGTTCTCATGATTGCTGATTTTTCAGGTATTCTCTTGTCCTGGTTGCAATGTTCAATGTGTGGGATCTTATATCAAGATATATTCCCCTTGTGGAATGCTTGAAGTTGGAGTCTAGAAAGGGTCTCATGATCGCAAGCCTTTCTCGTTTTCTGCTCATTCCTGCGTTCTACTTCACAGCAAGATATGGAGATCAGGGATGGATGATCATGCTAACATCTTTCTTGGGATTAACAAATGGTTATCTTTCAGTTTGTGTCCTGACAGAGGCGCCGAAAGGTTATAAGGTTAGTCCATCTACGAGTTATTATGTGAAAAATGTTTTCGTTATGGCACTTCAAGAAAAATGGCTGGTTAAATTGTTCTTTTGGTTTTGTAGGGGCCTGAACAAAATGCATTGGGGAATTTGCTTGTGCTGTGCTTATTTGTTGGCATATTTTCAGGGGTTGTCCTTGATTGGCTGTGGCTCATAGGCAAATAATTCCTGAAGAGCCAAGTCTCTGTTTATATGAATGAATTATAAAGTTGATACTTTGCCTCAATATTGCAAGATTGGTCTCATAATTACGTCAAGCCTTTCCTCTATCTGGGACAGCAACAGAATCACCTGCTGACATAGCACACACATCATGATGATTGTGGAAGGATCCTATGAGTATATTGTTGGGCTTGGCATGCTTTAGCTAACACCCCGCACTACACCTCCGTCGGGGCATCTCTATTTACAAAAGTTGTGGAATGTTTTTATCAGTTTATGGAAGCAAACTGGCTCGGCTACATAATTGATTTTGTTTTTTTTTTTTTTTTTTGGGGGGGGGGGTTGATGGACTGTTCATACATGGTCTCATAGAAAAGCATATATTCGGATGGTCAACGTCTTTAATAGAAAACATGCTTCGGTTTTTCAGTTGTGAGAATCATTGAACAAACGGGTGAATAAATCAGTCATGCAGAGTTGGTGAATCAGCCTAGCTTGCTGGCTCATAGTCTACTACATCAAGGAAATGAGTTGCAATGAGCTGATGGTCTAGTATTGTGCTGTAGAACTTGTTATGCCTAACTCGAAAAATCTTGATTTGACCAACGGTGTCTAGCAAAATAGGTGTTGTGATATTTTTGTAAATAAAGCTACGATTATAAACCAGCTCCCTGCAACTACAGCTAAAGAATGCCTTAGCAACATACCCACTAATTAACATCGTATGTTGATTAGGAGAAGTTCTCCATCCATATGTTGAGTCGAAGTGGACTATAGCAGTTTTGATTGTTTAGGAAAAGTTCTCTATTTTTTTAAAAAAAAAAAAAAAAAAAAAGCTCTTTTTATTTTAAGAAAAGTTCTTTTTATTTAAAGACTAGTTTAGTTTAGTTTGAGAGGAAAGTAATAATTTTGAGAGCTAATAAACTTAAAGAGGATTTTCTTCTTTTGTTCTTTTGATAACTAAATCTGATTTATTTAGGATTGCAATAATTGTAACGTTTTTAAACTTATCATTCTCTATGAGGTGTGATATTTTTCACTTTATTGCAACATAGCTTCGGTTCTTACCTTTTTATAGACAAAGGATCAGATTCTGCTTATTATAACCTGACTGAGCATGTTTTTAGGATTGTCTAACAATAAAAGATGTTTGGGTTTTCGTCTTCCTATATGGAGTTCACATCACAACGTACAATAAAATAAGGGTCCAATCACTGTAATTATTTAAACTGTGAATCTTCTTCGCAGAGCAGCCCATTTACCTCGAATAGCTTCTGTACCACAATCTCTAATGGAAGTCAAAATCTATTATCGATGCATGACCTGTGAATCTTTCACCCTGCGATGATTCATTGAAAAATAAAATGTTAGATAGAGTAAATGCAAAATGTCATGAAGCTTACATGTGAGTATCTTAGTTGGGCAAACAATACAAACAGGTAATAAAAACAACGCTGATAAGTTTTTTAATTTGATTGATAAAGTTGGCTACCAGATGTTGTTGAAAATGATCTCAAAAGTTTAGAAAATTAAATAATAAAGCCATTAATAAGTTGTTACAGCAGAAGTTGCTTCTCATTTTCTAACGTTACAGAGTCAAGAATCTTTTTTTCCTACAGCATATGAGAGACTGCCTTGATAGGGGCTAGCCTTATTCAAAACAAAACATCCATTCTGTTCTAAAGTGTATAGATCGAAAAAAAAGAAAAAAAATATTCGTTATTGGTTGTTTTTATTTTCTGTCCAATGTAGATTTTGATGTTTCTTCGACGGCACAAGTTTTTTATTTGTTAAGTCACAACATCTTTTATCAATGAGAGGAGTTTTTTTAATCATCATCTAGAAAATAATCTTACATTTAGCATAAATTACAAAGCTATTTTTTAGCTGCTCATGCCTAGTCTTGCTCTTCGAACGATAGAAAGTAATAAAAATTGGCGCAGAATCTATATGCATTGGCATGTGTGTTTCACACCGGTGAACGAAAATGAATGTTGGAGTTTTATTTTTAATGACAATAACAATACAACAAACAAACCAAGTTGAATTATAAGAAAGAATCAGGTGCTGCACACAAGAGACTTACATTGACATCTTTATTCAAATGCAATGCTTGATTTAAATACACGAACTTGCAACAGAAAAATTAGAAATAAACGCAGCTACTAAGCTAAAAATTAGCAACAACAACAGAAAATGATGACCAATAAAATAGCAACAACTAAACAAAGGCTTGGTCTTCTCATCTTGACACGTTCAGCAACATGTTCAGCTGCTTCTTAGGCATCTTTCACACACTCCTCCTTGCCTTTGAAGCTGCAAACTCCCAGCTTGTTTCTTAGCTCTTCAAATTTAATTTTAGGCAAGGCTTTGGTGAATATGTCAGCAACTTGCTCATCTGTTCTGTAGTACAACAATGACACTTCTCCTTCCTTCGAATTTCTCGAAGAAAGTAGAATTTGATCTTAAAAGGCTTCGTCTTGCCATGAAACACTAGATTAGAAGAGAATGAAATAGCTGCTTGATTGTCTACAAATATTTGTGTTGATTCTTGCTGCTCCAAGCACAAATCACATATAATTTTTCTTAACCGGATTGCATTATTTGTCATTGTTGTTGCAAGCAATAAATTCAGCCTCGATAGTGCTTTGAGCAACAATTTCTTGCTTCTTCGAGCACTAATTAATCATTCTCGATCCAAGACTAAAACAAAAACCAGTTGTACTCTTTATATCATTAATAGAGCCTCCTCGATCCATCGTTAGAAAAACCAACCAGCTGAAACCGATCACTCCTTACATACTTGATTCCATAATCAATAGTCCCTCTAATGTATTTGATGATTCTTTTAGCGACTCGCATGTGTTCTTCACTCGCACAATGCATGAATCCGGAGAGGAGACTTACGACTTGCACTATATCGATCCTTAATGCGAGTGAGATACATGAGGCATACAATCATACTTCGTAGAGATTTTCATCAACTTTGGCAGCTCCATCGTCCTTACAAAACTTTACTCTAGCTTGCATAGGAGTTTCGTAGGCTTGCAGTATTCCATATGAAACTTCTTCAGAATCTCCTTAGCATATTTTCTTTGACTGATGAAGATCTCACTCCTCTGTTGCCTCACTTCCAAACCAAGAAAATAGGTCATCGGCCCCAAGTCCGTCATCTTAAATTCCTTAAGCATTTCGGACTTAAAATCATCAATGAGCTCTCGATTGGTTCCCGTGATCAACAAATCATCAACATAAATAAAAACAATAGTAATGTTAGTGCCTTTCTTTCTCACATATAAAGTTGCCTCACTCAAGCTTTTTTAAAGCCTAAGTTGATCAGATGATCATCAATCCAGTTGTACCAAGCCCTCGGGGCTTGCTTAAGGCCATATAAAGCCTTCTTTACCAAGTACACTTTCTCTTCTTGACTTTGCACAACAAATTCCTCGAGTTGCTCTACATAAATCTCCTCTTTCGGAAACCATTCAGGAAGGCAGATTTTACATCTAGTTGGAACACCTTTTAGCCTTTTCGAGTCGCCACGGCAAGGAGTAATCCGATGGTGTCAAGCCCGGCCACAGTGCAAAAGTCTCCGAAAAATCCACACCAAAGACACTGTGCATATCCCTTCACAACAAGCCTGGCTTTATGCTTTGTTTATTGAACCATCAACATTGAGTTTTGTTCGAAAACCCATTTAACTCCAATGACCCTTCCGTTTGAAAGTCTTTCTATAAGTTGCCATGTATGGTTCTTCTCAATCATATGTAACTCTTCTTGCATAGCTGAAAGCCATTTCTTTTCTTACATTGCTTCTTAAACTCTTGTTGGTTTCATTACGACAACATTGTATCTAGCATAGATGTCCGCAAGGGATCTTGTTCCTCCGATCGGTTGCTCATCAACATCATCTTCATTAGGTCGTAGTTCATCGAGAACAATTTCTTTTTCATTTTCTCGCATTCCAGGTCCCACTTTTCTTCTTCTATAAAAACAACATCTCTACTCGATTATTATTTTTTCAGATTGAGGCTGAAAAATTCTATAAGCTTTTGAGGTGTTAGTGTAGCCTATGAAGATTCTAGGTTCATACTTTTTGTCCAATTTGTCTCTCTTTACCTGTGGAATGTAAGAGAAACAAAGACAACCAAAAACTCTTAAATTTGAACAGAGAAGGTTTGAACCCATACCATGTCTTATAAAGAGTTATATTGTTGAGAGCTTTGGTAGGTAATCTGTTTAATAGAAATACTACAGTATTTGCGGCCTCTACCCAAAAGGTTTTAGGCAAATCCTTCTCATGCGAGCATGCAACGAGTCATCTCTACGATAGTTCTATTTTTCCTCTCACTCACACTATTTTGTCGAGGTGTGTAGGGTGCTCGTGAGTTGATGCTTAATTCTCGCCTCCTCATAAAATTTGTTGAATTAATCTGAAGTATACTCCTTCTCATTATCGGATCTTATAATCATCATCTTGCGACCATTTTGGTTTTCCACCTAAGTTTTAAACCTCCGAACACATTTTTTACCTCAAATTTAAACTCGAGAAAATAGATCCAACATATATGTGTGAAATTATCTATAAATACAATATAGTACCTATTACCATTGAGTGATGATGTTTCGAAACGTCCAACGAATATCGGCATGCACAAGTTGGAGCTTTTGTGAGGCCCTTCAAGCCTTTTGTGGAAAAGGCGATCTATGTTATTTGCCATACTAACATGCTTTACAACTTGACAAGTTGTCATCCAATAGATGTAACCCATGTGCCATTCCATGCTTCTGCATTAACAAAATTACGGGATGATAGAAGTGTCCTAGTCTTTTGTGTCGGAGATCGATAACTTTTGCTACTACTCGAAATTTTTTTGCTCTTTATCCATTAAGTCAAGTGGGAAGCTCTTTCCCTTCATTTTGACACAAAACACTTCCAGCCCTTCGCATCCTTGATTATACAAGTTTTGTCTTCAAATGATACTTTAAATCCCTTTTCACAA